TATTTAGAGGTTCTTGATAAAAGCCAAAGAAGAATCAGCAATATTATTGGTCCTGACCTGGCGTCTTGGCTCCAGTCACATTCTCACCGCCGTAAAGTTCCTCCCCTCTGCTCTTTCTATAAATACTTTCATCGTAATTGTTTAGATGAGCTCTTCTCTGTGGTTTGGCTAGTTTTTAGTAGCTTTTTTTATTTATTTCCATCCCCATACAATGAATTATACATATAGGGACTAGTTAGATTTTTCATAGAGACAATGAGGTATTATGGTGTCTGTAGTAAGAAAGTTAAGTAAGAATGCGTTGTTTTGGTGTTAGGAATATTGTTCGTACGATTGGGTCAGTGTTTGTGGCTATTTAAGTTTAATGCTGACAGATGAAGACCGTTTTTTCCCCAATTTCTATTTTGGCCTTTTGTCACATTTTGTAAACAATTATAAATAAATATCGCATTTGGAATCATATTTTTAAATAAATAATTATATTTATGCTCTACTTTTGTATCGAGCACTATTTTAAAAAAATAATAACTAAAATACTAAGGGACTTTGGATTATTTACCTAACCAGTTCCTTAATATTTTCTATATATTTTCACACACACACACACACACACATATATATATATATATATATATATATATATATATATATATGTGTGTGTGTGTGTGTGTGTGTGTGTATGTGTGTGTGTGTATGTGTGTGTATTTATATATATATATGTTTTAAAATATGACATATATATATATATATATATATATATGTATATATATGTATATAAATAAGGCGACAAAGATGAAGACAATAGTCCGAATAATGTAAAGAAATATTCAGTATAAGCAGTACCCTTCGACGGAATAACTACCCCGCGCACATGACTGCAGTCTCGATAAATTCGGATATAAGGGTACAAGAGGATTACGACGCTCTGAAAATAGCTCGGTCTGCTTAACCTATCTGAAGGGATTATCGGAGAAAATACAAAAAAATCTGTGGTCCATATAACATCAGGACGACCTTCAAAAACCTCATCCAGGCCGCCTTGGGCCCTCTGAAAGAACCATGCGTCTTGTCGAAAGAAATGTTGAACAGGATGCACGTTGCAAAGCCTCTGACATAGCAACACAAGTTGATGTCAGTCCCAGAACAACTGTCAGGTATCTTCACAAGCCGGACTACTATATCAGAGCTGCGAGAAGGAAACCACTTCTCCGTCCAGCCAATATCAAACGCAGAAAGGAGTGGGCTCATGAGATGGTGGAGAGACCTGTGACCTTTTCAACCACTGTCATTTTCTCTGATGAGTCAAGATTCGCATTATTTTCCGACAGTGGAAGAGTATGAATTTATAATTTTTCTCCTAAGGAACCTCTTCCGAGTAAGACCTACCCCCATAGAGGGGAACATGATTAAGGACTGTGTATACGCTATCACGTGCAGCTGTGGTAAGAAAAATAAAAGAGATACAGTTCCCGCCCTTTCCAAGGTAAGACTGCAAGTACCTAATGTAATGCCGGGGAAATAGAAAAATCAGGCATAGCTGACCACATATGGTGGGAAATGGAGATCATTTCTCCCCATTTGGATGAGGTTCAAATAATAAACACTGGAAAATACAAAAACTAAGGAATCAGCACATATGCTAAGCTACAAAAATATCATAAGCCGACCAAGCATAGAAATTAATACAATATGAGAACCAATAATACGAAGTACTAGCGAAAAGCAATAATAATAACAAAATTGTAATATGAGCTCTAGTAAAAAAAAAAAAAAGTTTAATGAAACGTTAAGATTATAAGTCCCTCAAAATCATATAATGATATCCTCTAAAACAATTTGGTCCAAGGATAAAAGCGTTGGTTGGAGCCAATGATATAGACCACAGAGTTGCGAGATAAGTACCTGGCTACTGCAGTGGTGAACAAAAACGTGGAGAGTTGAATTAAAGGGAGATAACTGAGACATGCGGAAGAATAAAATGTTCAGTTCGAAACTCAAACCATTTACACAAGGCCGTAGCGTACAATGGCCGATATGAAGTTTATGGTAATAAAGATGAGGACAACAGTCCGAACAATGTAAATACCCTCGCATTACTATATTTATAATTAATATATCTCACGTCTCAGATGTTTTATCTTTGAAACTTAGAAGGTCCTCCATCATAAATGAGACTTGCGCATTTGATTTTGATCAGATAAGGCTAACGCTATTTCATTCGAAACTAATTATATCAACCGCTCCAGGAAAATTCGGTATCAAATTCTGGGTTGGTTATCGTCGTTCTCTGAACGATATCATCTTCTACAGATGAAATGTCTGTAAAAAAATAAAATAAAATAAAAAATCAGCAATCGTTTCTCTGGCTAAACGCAACGAAGCAATCCAGAAAGAAACGAGGAAGAGAAATCTGATAAGATAAAATGTTTACCAAAGTATTGTCAGTGCTGAGGTCGTGGGTCTGTGAAACACGGCGTCGACCATATTTGGACGTATTTTTAGTGCGCATATGCTGTTTCGAAAACATGAGCCCAAGCAAAAATCGTCAGCAGCAGCAGCAACGTGTCTTCTGACAGGATACAGTTCAAGTTTGTTATTGTTTACCTAACATTGTAAAAACAATGTCGGCAAAACAAAGAATATCGCTGTATCATTTTCCCTTAAGAAATAGGCATTTTAGCTGTTTAACTTTCCATAACATCTTTTGAGAATTGCGATCTTCTAGCATGACTGATAACACATTGCTTATAGTTAACTTTCACTAGACATTAACGCACAAAACATTGATACACATTTTTATATCATTCGTGATGTGTCTTCTCAACGGATGTATTCAGTCTATACAGCGAGACAATTCTGGGAGAACTCGAAGACCTACGGGGATTCAATATTGGAGGCCATAATCTTAACATCATAGTATATGCAGATGACGCAATTGCTGGTGCTAGACACGGAAGAAAAACTCCAAAAAACTCCTACAGAACGTAAGGATTAAACATCATCTGAAGGAAAACAGAATCTATACTTGTTAGCAAAAGGATGAACCCCTAATGCAAATTACAAATCGGAGATAACAAAATCAAGTCGTAGTCCTACATCGGTCAGGGCTGATCATGGGTAGCATCCTAGTTGTCTGCTTGGCTGGAGCATAGACGTCAGTGACTGTAGAGGCCGATGCGAGAGTGACAATCTCTGTTGCAGTGGTCGCATGCGTGCTGTCTCTGGACTGTTGGAGCTGTCGCTTTGCTTACAGTCGGCCCGCCTTTCCCTGGCGACTTGAGTCAGCTTCTCCTCCCCTGACTTGATGTGTTTGGTCAGGGTTCCTCTCCATTTGGATCGTATAGCTGCCAGGCTCTCCCAGGAATCTATGTTGATGTTCACAGCCTTCATGCCGCGCCTCACGACATCGCGGTACCGCAGCTGTGGCCGCCCGGCGGGTCTCCTTCCAGAGACCAGCTCTCCATACGAGAGGTCTTTGGGAATTCGGCCGTCCGAGATGCGGTGGACGTGGCCCAACCAACCGAGTTTGCACTGAGCAGTGTGAACATGCAGACGTACTCGAGACAGTACCTCAGTGTTGGGCACATTGTCTTGCCACGTACAAGTAGAAATATTTTAATATCAGGGAATTGTTTAACAGAGAACGGAAAGTGCGGTACTGAACATTTAACGCGCGTTGCGATAGCCAAAGATGCCTTCCGGAAGGTAAGTAGAGTATTAAGAAACATGACAAATTTCGTTAGAAACAAAGGTTGATGAACTGTTCCCATATGGCAACGAATGCTGGGCAATCTCTCCAAAGATGAAGAATAAACTTGAATTTACAGAAATGAGTTTGTACAGAACGACGCTGAGAATACCATAGACGAAAAATGTGTGCAACAACGTGGTTTCAGAGAAAATGGAAACTAAAAAGGACGTAACACCAGGAAGAGACGGTTGAAATTACTAGACTACGTAAAGAGGAAGGAAGGGTTAGAAATTCTGATACTCACAAGACATTTCGAAGGCAAGAGGGAGAGAGAAAAACAGAGCATAACATACTTAGTGAGCTTGAATAAATAGATGGCAAAACAGAGTGTAGGAGATATGACAAAAAAGATAATATTTATCAAGAGCTATAAAGGACATCAATTTATGGGCAGCTATAAATACCCACATCTTGAGGGGATACAACAGATGAACAAGATGTCTAACGTAAACTTTATCCAGTGGATCAATATTGAAACTAGAATTTAAAATTGCTTTCTTTATTTCTTTGTTTATTCTTAATGTTCGAGTGAGATCCAGTGAAAGAAAATTGTTAACGTTAGCCTTGAACATGTTAAGATTTTAGTGATCCAGGATGTCATTCTATTGGGAGTCGGTTCCATAGAGCAGTAGTTCGGGTGAAGAAGCTGTTAGAGTGTAATTTCTAACTGATGTAATACGGCGGGAATGTGGGTGATTTGCTATGTTAGTGGCATGGCGTGCTCTTGCCATGAAGGTTTGACTTGACGGGAACAGGAAATTTTGTTCGCCCGAGTACTTTCCGTGGAAATAGCGACACAGATGCTTGCCACGTCCCGCCCGTGGGAGAAACGTTAGTGATTGGTGAATAATTCGTCACTCACAATGACTCGGAGACGATGGAAAGTGAAGATTCAGCAGCTCACGCCCAGATATATTTTTGGTATATATAAATATACCAAAGATCATTTGGTCACCATTTATTGTCGCTATTATTTCTTTCGTCCTTTCCTTCTTTTTTTTTAATTTGTCCCATAAGTTCTTTGATGCTTTCTTTCGCCTATTTTTTTAAAATTATTTTATTTCCTGATTTCATTTTCTTTCTTCTTTTATTCCATTAATTTTATAATCCATCTCATTCTTGACCTACTTCCTTATTCATCTATTTATTTATTTAGTAATTCCCTTTATATCTTCATTATTTTCCCGCCTCAATGTCATATATTTCCGTTTGTTTCATCCGGATTATGGTTAGAGCCTTTCTAATCATTATGCAAAAAAATCCGCATGCCGTTTGCTTTCCTTTCTGCATAATGTTCATTATTTTTTTTCTTTGTTTCCTTCGTATTTTTTCCGTCACTTCATGCTATTTCATTATCTTTCTTTCTTTCTTTCTTTCTTTCTTTCTTTCTTTCTTTCTTTCTTTCTGTCTGTCTGTCTTTCTTTCTTTCTTTCTTTCTTTCTGTCTTTCTTTCTTTCTTTTTTTCTTTCTTTCTTTTGTTCATTCCTTCCTTTGATTTTATAGCTTTTCTTTCTTTCTATCACTTTTCTTTCTTTCTTTTCTTTTGTTTGTTTTTATCTCTTTTCTTTCTTTCTTTCTTTCTGTTTCTTTACTTTCTTTCTTTCTTTCTTTTGTTCATTCCTTCCTTTGATTTTATAGCTTTTCTTTCTTTCTATCGCTTTTCTTTCTTTATTTTCTTTTGTCTGTTTTTATCTCTTTTCTTTCTTTCTTTCTGTTTCTTTTCTTTCTTTCTTTCTTTTCTTTCATTCTTTCTTTTGTTTTTATCTCTGTTCTTTCTTTCTTTTTATCTCTTTTCTTTCTTTCTTTCTTTTCGGTCATTTTCCTTTGTATGTTTTTCTTTTTTCTTTCTTTCTTATTGTTATCCCTTCGCTTTATTTTTCATTCATTCTTTCCTTTTTTTTTCAATTCTGTTCGTTCTTTCTTTCTTTCTTTCTTTCTCTCTTTCTTTCTTTCTTCCATATTTTTATCTCTTTTCTTTTATTCTTTCTTTTGTTTTTATCACTGTTCTTTTTTTTTATCTGTTTTCTTTCTTTCTTTTCGTTCATTTTTCCTTTGTATGTATGTATGTATTTCTTTCTTTCTTTCTTTCTTTCTTTCTTTCTTTATCCCTTCGCTTTATTTTTTCATTCATTCTTTCTTTTGTTTTTTAATTCTGTTCGTTCTTCTTTTTCTTTCTTTCTTTCTTCCATATTTTTATCTATTTTCTTTCTTTCTTTCTTTCTTTCTTTCTTTCTTTCTTTCTTTCTTTCTTCCATATTTTTATCTCTTTTCTTTTTTTCTTTCTTTCTTTCTTTCTTTCTTTTCGTTCATTCTTTCCTTTGTTTCATTTCTTTCTTATTTTTATTTTTCCAACACATTTCATTATTTCAATTTTTCCTTTCTTTTCTTTCTTTCTTTCTTCTTATTTTTATATTACTTTTCGGTCATTCTTTCTTTTGATCTTTTCTCTTTTCTTTCTTTCTTTCAGCCTATTTCAATATTTCGCCTCTTTCTTCCTTTCGTTCTTTTTCTTTCCTTTCTTTCTTTAGTACATTTCTTTATTTTTTTTTCTTTATTTTTCTATCACGCTATTTCATTATTTAGCTTCTTTCAGGTTTTCTTTCTGTCTCTGTCTCTGTCTTTCTGTCTGTCGGTTTCACTACTCCGGCACTTTCTTTCTTTCTTTCTTTCTTTCTTTCTTTCTTTCTTTCTTTCTTTCTTTCACGCTATTTCATAATTTAGCCTCTTCAGATTTTCTTTCTTTTAGTGTCTCTCTATCTTTCTGTCTGTCGGTTTCAATAGTTCGGCTATTTCTTTCTTGCTTTCTTTCTGTCTTTCTTTCCTTCCTTCATTTCTTTCTTTTCTACTTCTTCCTTTTTTACCTTCTAACCTTTCAATTTTACAGGCAAGCGAAGATTGTTAACTGTTACCTTTTTCTTACTCTTAACAGATTTCCTGTCCAATCAAATCATGAACACATTACGAAAGAAATTTAAAAAAAAACTGGAAAAAAATAATTTTCTCGTTGCCATATCTTCAGAAACTGAAAGTAATTTGATGCAATGAAGGCGCATTGAAGGGAAGAGCATGTGGAAACCCACCAGCCCCTAAAAAATAAAAAAAAAATATAATAAAACGAACAATAAGCCTTTGACACCTAACGTTATATATCATCTTTTCTGTGCCGTACCCCTTAAAAACACGACTCTCTACAACGTCCATCCCTCGTAGCACTCAATAAGAAGGCGGTTGTCGTGTGAGACAAGGTTCGGGAGGACCAAGCATCGTGTCTGAGCGAATGAAAAGGAAACTTAAAAGGGAAATCATCAGAAACCGTCGTCAGAGCTACAAAGATGTTTCCAAAAGGATGGAAATGTCACCATATGCGGCTAGAATGACTTAAAGAGCTAGGCTACCAAAGAAGAATTGCAAGAAAGAAGCCCGAAACAGGCGTATGGACTGGGTGAAAGAATTCGAGGGCTAAGGTTAGGAATTTTGTCAGCCTGGCCAAGAGGAATGTAAATTCTGCTAATATTCGAATTCTAGACAGGTTTATGTTTGGAGAAATCAGAATGAGGCTTGGAACACTGAATGTTTTGAAGCGACTGTGAAAAATGGAGAGATTGGAGTAATTGTTGCCATATCTTCAGAAACTGAAAGTAATTTGCCTGGTTTGGAGAAAACTCTGAGCTGATCGAAAATACTGTCAAATATTAGAGAAAAGACTACACTACTTGAAGCCAATCAGATTGACAAGAATGTCTACCTTTTTCAAGAAGATGGAGCGTCATGTCATACTAACAAAGAAGCAAAGGCCTGGAAGGAATCGCAAGGAATGAAGTCACTGCCTTGGGTAGCCCAAAGTCCTGATATTGTTATGGTTCGATTCCTTGTACCACGGTGATATTCCAAGGTAGAACCAATAAAGAAGAACTCGAACACGGAGATGGAATAACACAGATATATTACAAACAGGAATATATAGAGAGAAGTAGAAAAGTGTTAGTACGAACAATCAGGTTTAGTAGGGAGAACAATGTAGTCTCGACCAGTATCACTATTCCAATGTCTTGCAGTAATTGTCTGAACGCGACTCTGTTTCGGACTGCCTCTGACTCGACTGGCTGACTCGCTCTGACTGACTGACAGACTCCTGACGGACTTCATTCCAGACTTCAGACTGAACGGTATTTAGTCACCCACCCCAACGAGGGCATCATGTGGCACAAGGCCGGTTTAACGTGGGATCTCCGAGCCCGTGGGCTCGGACGAAAATATGCCCTTCGAACCCGTATAAACGGGTTCAGGGTCGGTTTATCTACCCGAAAGAGACTCCGCCCTTCGGCATAGTCTCGTTCGGGTTCCTCCCCGCCCGAAGGCTGAGAGTTCAACCGATCAGCCGGTCCGCTGGTCGCCCGACTGAACTCTCTGCTTCCTCTTGAGGCGCAGTATTTATTACGTACGGAATAGTCCATTATGTTATTATGGTTAAGGTCCCATAACAGATATGAATTCAATACAGCACGTCTGGGAGCATCTTGACCGAAAACTTCGAGAGCATTCAACCAAAATCATGCCAGTGGCAACCCTTAAAGAAACATTGCTAAAGGAGTGGCAAAATATGGATCAGACGATTGTTCATAATTTGATCAAATCCATGAAAAATCGAATACAAGAACTGAAACTAGCAACTACACCAAGCCTACTCAATACTAGTTCTAAATGCTGTTTATTTATGTTGAGTTGAGCGCAATTAAATTTTGAAATTGGATGTTGTTTATTTCTCCTGGCTAAAAACTTTTCTTGGGCCACTGTACTTCACTTGACTTTACTATGTGCAGCGAGTGTCAAATTTTTCGACCCCTCTCTTCACATTACGTGTCCTAGAAATATAATATAATAGGCTCTGGGATAATTACTATAGTATGATGTCTAACAAACGTGGTTTTCAGTCCAGTTTGAATCTGTTATCCTTTATGGCAGTGAATGCTGAATAATCTCAAAGAGGAAGAAGTTATTCGAAGGAACAGAAATGTGGTTCTACAGAAAGATGCTGAGGATACCATGGACAGAATTATGCAACGACGAAGTTTTAGAAAAAGTAAACAAAAAGGAAACTCATATTTAACGCCAGGAAGAGACAGCTGACATTTCTAGGGCATATATTAAGGAAAGTGGGCTTGTAAAATCTGATACTCACAGGAGTGATTGAAGCCGAAGCTACAGAGAAAAACAGAGCATGGCATACTTAGTGAGCCTGATTAAATGGCGGGTGGAACAGGCTTTGGGAGAAATAACAAAGAGACAAATTTATTAAGAACTACAAAGGACAGCAAATCGGGGTGAGCCATGATCGCCTTTTCAGCAGGAAATCAGGGTCACAAATCCCATAAACCATTAGGTCGTAGGGGCACCCGGTGTACTGCAGCGATAGCAGAAGCGGTGTGTCTTTGGCAAGCGAGGCCAGTGGAACCCAATCATCTCCATTTTGAGTTGAATCAGTCTCTTAGTCCGATAGCCAACCGACAATATGCTTACCCATATCTGGGGTGAGGGAAAAAGATGGAGAAATTCAATTTTCTATTAGTTCTTCATATAATTGTTCGTTTCTATGTGTCGTGTCCAGGACATATATATTTCTGGCTCTCCACAAGTTCTTTTCTTTTGTAGCTATTACGAATGTTAGTGTTTTACGATACCAACGACTCCTTGTTCTACACAAGCTCATGGGATATGTTATTCATCGTTTCCATCTGTTTTTTTGCCTTCAATATGTCCCGTGAGTGTTAAATTTTCCAAGCCGTCTTTTCTTTTCATCTAACCTAGAAATATCGACTGTTTACTTCTGATCTTAAGCAAAAGATCTATTTTCGTTTCTATTTTCCTTTATCCCCCACCCAACATTTACTTCCCATGGATATTCTAGCAACTATCCTTAGATCCACTTTTCTGTTATGCATGTCAGATATACTCCTTGTATTGTGAGGGAGTTGTTCAGCATTTATTGGCATATATGAGGCTTGTTATTTCCTAACAGTTCATCCCGCTTTACCTTGTGTCTAATGTAGATTATTATTATTATTATTATTATTGCTGTACATGTTGGAGTTCATCTGCTTTCGCATGTGCCGGATATCTATTTATATGCTTATCGTTTCATTTCGTATTTTCATATTTGCTCTTCAATTTCGTTTCGTTTGCATACGTTGATTTTTGGACATACTTCGTTCTCCGCTATTAACAAAACGATCCATTTATACTTAATTCGCTACACCTAAAATCAATATCTGGAGAACAAGAGAGATTCTTCAGCTATAGAAATAATCGAAATCTCAAACCACTCACATGTGCGTGCGATTTCAAAAATTGATTTGGTATAGACTTACTGTAGGTCGTTATATCTATCTATCTATCTATCTATCTATCTATCTATCTATCTATCTATCTTTTAAGTGTGCTCAACTGTCATGAAATATTAAATTATGCAATCAAGACCTCTAACGAGAAGATGTAATCTCCACTAGAAGTCAAGGTAGGGATGAAATAAGTGAATATTTAATTAAAATTTATTGCTACTAATTGTCTATCCTCTGATGATAAGCACTCTAATTCCAAAGACAGCTTACCTTAAAAACATTATCTTCAAGAAATCTCCTGGGCGACATTATTTCTTCTTCTTCTTCTTGCTGTTGTTGTTGTTGCTGTTGTTGTTGTTGTTGTTGTTGTATACTCATGTCTTTCCGTTTCCCGACCTATGGTCAGAAAAGGCATCCGGACACATATTTCACTCACATATTTTACATAGATAAGGTCTTTCGTAAGGTGTGGACGATACCTGTGTGTCCAAAGTTTTGTATTTCTTTAATACATGGACTACAGGAATTCCTTCAATGGGTTTGTGGAATCATTTCCAATCAGTCTACAACGGGAATTGTTAATGTCCTCATGCGCCACATTTTTGGGATTTCGATTTTATGGTCCTTGTATTCTGATATTCTTTTTTTTTAAGGACCTTTAATGACACATTGCAGTCTGAGGGGACAGCCATGTCAATATGGAGGAACATTTTGTCTTTGCCGTCTCTAATCCCGATGTCAGAGCGATTAGCTTTGATACTTTTGTCTGCGTGTATAGTAAAGTTACTATTATTATTATTATTGTTTTTATTTTCTTTGATTTCTGGCGTTTACACATTTCTTTCCCAGGGACCTAAATTTAGAAATGGCAGCATGACACTTTCCACTGACAAAAAAAAAAAAAAAAAAAATTACATAGATAAAGCCCTTCGTAAAGTGTGGGCTGTACTTGTCAGAACAATTTTTTGTATCTCCTTTAGGCATGGACTTCCAGTAATCCCTTCAATTAGTCTACTGCAATCTTGCAATCTTTTCCAACCAGTCCTAGGGCTCCAACTACAGCAGGGATTGTTGATGTTCCCATATGCCACATTTTCGAGATTTCTATTTCAAGGTTCTTATATTTTGACAGCTTTTTGAATATCTTCAAAGATACATTGCTGTCTGCAGGGACTGCCATATCAATAAGGAGGCACCGTTTTTGTTTGTGGTCTTTAATAACAATATCTGGGCAGTTGGCTTTGATTGTTCTGTCAGTGTGTATTGTGTAGTACCATAGAATTGTAACAGGTCCTATCTCCGTAACCGGGTCTTATTATTATTATTATTATAAATATTATTATTATTTCCTTTGATTTCTGTTGTATCCTTATTTTCCGCCTGGTCACAACCAGAGACGATATTTTTCACTGAAAATTTAAAACCAAAAAAAAAAAAAAAAGGGAGAAATACAAATAAACAACGTAAGATTACTTCATAAGGTGTGAGCTATAATTGTATTAGCAACTTTTTCTATCTCTTTAAAGCATGTGCTACCAGGAATCCCTTCAACAAATCTAGTGGAATCTTTTCCAATCGGTGGTCCAAAATACAACTGGATTTATTAATGTTCTTATGTGGCACATTATTTTAGATTTCCACTTCAGTATCCTTGTATTTATGATTTAGATTTTCAAAAATACATTAAAATTTGCAGGAACTGCCATGTCAATAAATATGCTAAATCTGTTTTTGATGTCATTAATTACTATATTTAGGCGATTAGCTTTGATTGTTCTGTGCCTACTGTTAATTCCCTAAAATTCTTACAGGTTCTACATGGAACCGGAACAGGATGAGGTTCATACGAATTTCTTTCAGTTTCCTTTCCGTGAACGTTTAAGATTTTTCAATGCAGATATTAACCCACACTAACATGCCGAGTTTTATATTCAGATGTTGCCAGTCAGTCATCTGTGCATTGCATAATGCTGCCATATCCGGTCTGGTACTCCGGCTATATATCTCAAGATTCTCGACAAAGTCCAAAGAAGTGCCCGTAATAATATCGGGTTTGACCTGGCATCTCGACTCCACTCAAATTGTGATATGGCAGTTGTTCTAATGAGCTTCTCTCCTTGGTACTTTGACAGCATGAGTTTAAGCCTACTGATTGAAATGGCAACTAAGTCTCAAAATTTTACTGATGAAATAGCTAGATTTAACAATATAGTCGAATAGTCTTTTTTTTTTCTTACATCTTTCACCTAGAGAATTCAATCCTGGCCTCTTACTTTCCTAACATCTACAATATTCGCAAAATGAAATGCAATGTCAATGGCCGTCTTCTGTCTTCCGGAAACCTTGTCTTTTATTGTCCTTTCTCCGCTCTAAATATTCTCATTCTCTTCAAATTCAACTAACCCTTGGCGTCTGAGTGACATTAACATCTAACTTGGGGTGAAATTATTAAAAAAAAATGCAAATATATATATATATATATATATATATATATATATATATATAAAGCTGTAGTCTCTATTTGTTTGTTATCAAACTCCTCCTAGGGTTTTAGAGATAGACCACATAACAATATGTATTCTGAAACTACATTATCCAGGATACCTTGATAAGTATATTTGATTTTGATCAAACAGCATCCGCGTGTGGTACAAACTGTCCCTGATTTTTTTTTCCTTTTATTTAAATTAAATTTAATTTGAAAAAGGAAATGACTCCTATCCAAAATATAAAAGGAGAAAGCCAGAAGATAGAGGTCATATCGGCAATATTAAATGAGACAATATGGACTTTAAGTTTAGCAGAAATCACAAGTCAGTGGGTAGTGCCTTATAATACATATTGGTTGCGACAATTCAACTGCCATATCAATGTTGAAATCTTCTCATCAATTCACTGAATCAAGTATTTCATCGAATACATATCAAAGCGGTCAGATCAAGCTGTTTTTTACACAAACAATCTGTGAATTTATTCTTCCTTTTGATTTAAATTAAATTTAAAACTGAATAAGGGAAAGACTCCTATCCAAAATATAGAAGGAGAAAACCAGGAGATGGAGGCCACGTCGGCAAGATCATTGAGTAATATGAAAATGCATCATTTTTATTCACAAATTATAACAATGATTTAAAATCAGTCATCGTTTTCTTACAAAAAATGTCTGACGCGCACCAAAGCACGGGTAATTCGGCTAGTATAAACATCTATGTCTATCTGTCTATGATAGTCCGCCCTAGCAGCATGGAAATTTACAAGTAACGACAAATTCGTATATACAAGATGCGGAAGCGAAAATCTCGTCACAGCTCGTGACGTCACACATGACCATGCGGGAGTGAAAAACGAGACGTATTAAGTATGGAAAGCCGTTGTTATAAAACAATGGCTTCTGTTATAAATTATAGGCATTTAAGGATATTTGTGGAGATTTCAAAGTTTATTTTGTTCAGGTGTTCAACTGTTTTATGTATAAAACCTCAAGAATTTTTAATTTTTATTTATTGTTTTCTTGTTTAAATATAGTTGTATTGTCAACAAGTATTTTCCGGAATTGAGTACGCGAGCAGGCAATTCGTTTTAAATGCCTAAAAATTTTAGAGTTATCATTTAAATGTAGAGTCAAGCGCCGTGAAAGCGAGTTTGTGGTGTGACCAACATAAATATTATTTAATCTGTTGGAGATACAATCTCCCAAAGGGCACTTGAATTTGTAAACTGTTGGTTTTCTGCAAATCGCTAACGGAGAGTGGGGAAGAATCATTGCGAATAGTTAAGTTGGATATACTAGATTTAGTGTAGTGTATGATTAACCGAACTTTTTTGCTAGGGTCTGTTGTAGGTATAGTAGTATTTACTAATTTTTTTAGTATATTTTCATCTTCTTTATAATTAGTATGATAAAAGAGATCAATATGTTTGGAATTAGTTGAAGTAGTATTATGTTCTATTTGCGTTGTATACGTGATGTCAATGTCGATTTTCGCTTCCGTGTCTCGTATAAACGAGTTTGTCGTTACTTGGAAATTGTTGTTTCGTCCGTTGATCGCATTTAAAAATGTATCAATATGGTGTTTTCCTTTAGTCTTTCAACGAGAATGTGATTAAGCTTATCAGACAATATGAAAGGAAATTACATAAAATAAATAGACAAAACTTGTCTGTATTATTTAATGAAACATGTATCAATATCTATCTATCTATCTATCTATCTATCTATCTCTCTCTCTCTCTCTCTATATATATATATATATATATATATATAGTATTTGCGCATGTAAAGAAACGTATGTATATATGGGATTTGCATGAATATGTATGTGATATATATAAGAAGAAAGCAAAATCTTTAATGTTACCTAACCTCAAATATTATTCCATAATTAAACCTAAACTTTAAGTAAGTAACTATTACCCATATAAAAATAATGACAAATTGCATTCATAAATTAGATTAAAAGTAAAATTAATAAAGATGTTACCGTAACTATTTTTACAATATTAAAAAAGTACGATTGGTCGGGTAAATAAACTATTATAATTTAAAATATATTTTTTATTATGTTCTCTATAAATGTGTTAATAAATATAATATTTAACTTATATTAAGTCCCTAAACTATTTGTTTTAAAAAAAATTAAATATTTAAATTGATAGCAAACATCAAATTTTTTAGACATCTAAATTTCTATCAAGCATTAAAATCTATTCTTTACATAAACTGCTAAAACCAAATTACAGCCTCTTTCTCTTTACTTCCCTCTCCCTCTCCCTCTTCTTTCTTTTTCCTTTTTCCTTTTTCTTTTCTCCCTACTTCCATCCCATTTCTATATATCATTTCCGTTAAGTTAACCATCTAAATAGGTCAAGGTCTGGCCACTCCTCCTCTCCCAATATAAAGTATACTTGAGAGAGATATGAAATTAATCCCTCCCTATACTCTACCATGTCTCTTTAACTATTCTTCATACACTCTCTGTTACATCACAAAAACTTACACTACCCATCAATTTTAATTTCATTTTTCCTTTCATTTCATTTTTGGAAGTGCTATCTGATGACCCGGCGTCCTTTAAAAGGACTCTGGTGAAATAAATTATTATAATGGT